GTCGGAATCTCTACTCTTTGAGATTTTCCTCCCTTGCGGAGGCCGACGACCCATCAGTCTTTTACTTTACTGGTCATTTCTTACTGTCTGGTCTAGTCGGAATCTCTACTCTGTGAGATTTTCCTCCCTTGCAGAGGCCGACGACCCGTCAGTCTTTTTCTTTACTGAATGTATGCAATGTTTCTCTACGTGCACATGATAACATAAAATGCATAATACTTCTTGCATACTTTAACTGTGCATAAAGGTAACCATATGTCGCCCTTTTGCAATCTAGAGCACTAAGCCCTCCAAACACGTATAATCACATGTAATCACATAGACTTAGGAACATAAGTAAATTCATAGTTCTAAGTCTAACTATAGCTTACTCGAGTCCAGACAAACATATATGTCTATACTTACAGTTAATCCGCTAGGATTTCCGCTTGCTGGAAGTTCTTTCTCGTTGCTTCGGCTCTCGTGCCAAAACCTGTTTCATGGAAATAGGTATTAACCACCTATTCCAAGCATCAAAATTTCTCATACTTGTATTCCTAAATCCAATTTCAACTATTTCGGCAGAGTTTCGCCTTGTTTTTTCTAGTTTCCCGAGTTTTCAATAACTCGTTCTACTTCCGATTTCGGTACCTGTAGTCCAGATTCACATTCCTGAACACAAATTTCAACATAAAATGAACAACAACACTTTTTCTCCATTTCTAGGGTATTCCGGATTTTTAGTGTTAATCCAAAAAAATTTGTTCAATCATTTCCATACTTGCACGTTAAACTCCTATTATAGTCCCCGACAAAACCTCAGTTTCGTTTTTCAGTTTTACGGATTTTTTCCGAGATGAGTTACTATTCATAACAACGAAAAAGCATGCAGTTTCTCATGAAAAATCCGAAATCTTACCTTGAAAAGTGAGATTCTCCCGCTAGAATGCCTCGGGTTATGTTTCTACCGGACTGAACGGAAGAAATTTCGGTGAAAACGGGTGATTCCTTGATTTTCCCTTGATTTTCTCTCTTTTCCCTCTTTTCCCTCTTTTTTCTATTCTCTCGGCCTCACTTAGGAAAAGAAACCAATTTTGGCTTCTAATGTCATCCTTAGGAAAATAGAGCATAATGCTTCTAATTTCCCTTCCTTCACGTTTTAAGGTATAATAGAATATTTTAATAATATTTTTAATAATATCTCACATTACTTTCTAAAATTAAATTAGAGAAATTACTTTAATTCTCATAATTTAATTTTACTAATTCTAGTTAAGTTTAACACTTAATTTAAGTGGTTCCATGTTCCCCAAATTTTTCTTGTCGAGACCAAACTTTTCGTTTTTCAAAACGAGTCTCTTTCCGGTACCGATAATTTCACACTCGGTACAGGTTCTATACTACTTTTCTGGACTGCCGAGCACCCTGAGTCAAATTTCTCATATTCAACCCATTTCTCTTAGGTATCTCAATAGTCAATTTCTTTTTCTGAAATTTTCATGTTAAACGATCCAGAATTGCCCAAAACGCGTACCCTCGCGGTACTCATTTTTTTTTACAGTTTCCCGCTTTAACTGACTCGGGAAAATTCTGTTTCAGGAACTTTTGCCATTTTCCTTACTTCTAATAGTTCTACTCTTTTTCTAACTGGTCATTTGGTCATTTACCAAATATTTCAGTTTTTCATAACTAAAATATACCTGTTAAAATTTCTAACTTTTAACCGATATTTCACTATTCACAACTGATATTTACGAATTTTCTCTGTAAAAATATTCGTATTATAACTTTACACTTTTCGGGTGATTTTACCTCGTATATAAAGTTTCTACATAACACTTTCCTGATTACATCAATATTTCTACTACTTTCTGTTCCGGGAAGAATTACGGTCAAATACTAGACTGTCCGAATTTGACTTAAAATTTTCCCGGTCATTACATTCACCCTTCCTTAAGAAATTTTCGTCCCGAAAATCAGAACAACTGGGGGTACTTCTGTCTGATCTCTTCTTCTACTTCCCAAGTGACTTCTACAACATTGTGATTTTTTCACTGCACTTTAACCATTGGGATACTATGAATTCTGAGTTTCCTTTCTTCTCTGGCAAGAATTTGGACTGGTTGTTCCTCATAGGACAAATCTTCGTGAACCTGGATAGGCTCATATTGTAACACGTGCGATGGATCTGAGATATACTTCCGGAGCATTGCTACATGAAACACATTATGCACTGAAGCCAACTCTGGCGGTAGAGCTAGTTGGTAAGCTACCTTTCCTACTCTTTCAATGATCTCGAAAGGCCCTATGTAACGTGGGCTCAGCTTACCTTTCTTCCCAAAACGCATCATACCCTTCATTGGTGCGACTTTTAGGAATATGGAGTCCCCTTCAGAAAATTCCAAGGGTCTCCGTCGTTTATCTGCATAACTCTTCTGCCGGCTCTGAGCCGTCTCTAATCTTCTACGGATCTTTTGCACTGTCTCAATGGCCTCTTGAACGAATTCCATCTTGTGAAGCTGCTTTTCCCGAGTGTCATGCCAATGAACTGGGGATCTACACTTCCTTCTGTAAAGTGCTTCATACGGGGCCATTCCGATGGAAGCTTGGTAACTATTATTATACGAGAATTTGATCAATGGAAACTTCATACTCCATGCGCCCTTGAAATCCATTGCGCATGCACGAAGCATATCTTCTAGGGTCTGAATGGTCCTCTCTGACTGCCCATCCGTCTGGGGATGAAACGCTGTGCTATAGCGTAATTCTGACCCCATCGCTTCCTGAACACTTCTCCAAAAATTGGAGGTAAATCGGCTGTCTCTGTCCGACACTATA